GCTGTATTTGACAGCCTGGGAAAGAGAGCAGGCTGTGACGTGCAGGAGCCACACCAGAGCCAGTGTTTGGTTTGTCCATTCTGGGCTACTGTAGAAACATGGAGGTTCACCATGGCGGACTCCATGGAAGGCGATCTGTAGATAATCCTCCTAAATGTTACACACTGGACCTCAACGTCTATTCCGGTGTATTTCCATTGAGAGCAGAAAGCAAACGTCATATTGGTTGTGTGTGGACACCTGGCCGATAACACTGATTCTGAGGCTGAGGATTATAAAAGGGGCTTACTCAGATTGTACTGCTGCTGAAGCTTAAAGACAAGTGTATTGTGTATTGTGTACATGTGGCTAGAACACATTTACAGACCTCAGTGGGCTTTGTGCTAGATAGCAAAACTCAATGAGAGTACTAGTTACAGCAAAGTACCCACACACAGCCGCCAGTGCTTCCTCAGCTCAGTCTGTGTGAAGCAAATGAGACACATACAGTGTGAGCAGTGACTGTAGTTCTGTGTTCATTAATGTGAAAGCTCAAATGTATTAATCCAGTCAGTAGGTCACAGAAAGTCCAATCAAAGTCAGAAATACTCATTTTACTTGATTGGTAAAGTGGGTGTCATACAGTAAGTGGACACTAGAGGGCAACACGAGCTGCTAAACAGTAAGTAGTGTTTCAAATGTGCTTAACTCTATATAATATATACACTGTTTTTCTTTCATATTTATTTATAGAAACACTTGTGTAGCAGTTTGGTTCTGAAACTAATGAGATCCCTTCCTGTCTGTGTGTGTATTCAGTACAGAGGAGCAGGATCCTGTAGATACACAGGATGAAGGATGGTGTTTGTCTACTCTTCTTTCCCCTATGGATCTGCTCCCACCTCCCGAAGCCCCGCTCCCATCCCCTGCAGCATCCTGGTCTCCACCCCGCGCTGCTCGGAGGACCAGGTCTATCAGTCCAACGCGGTGGAGATCCTGGAGAGCTGCGGCATCACCCCCCTGTAAGGCTGGAGCATCCTGTGGATTTAGATCACCTGTTCCCATGCGGCGACACAGGTGTGGCTGCTGCTGTTGCAACTGCAGCCAGAAGAGATACACGCAAAGAAGATACACACCAAGAAGATACACACCAAGAAGATACACACCAAGAAGATACAGACCAAGAAGATACATACCGAGGAGATCCGGGCCGAGAAGATGCGGGCCGAGAGTGACATCGTGGGAGCACCTTCCCGTGGCCATCTAAGCAACCAGGTGGTACCAGGTTGTCGGGAGCATGCAGTGCAGCCACTGCAAAGCCCTGGGAAGGCACCAGACGACGTCGTGGATGTGCCAGAGCTGCGAGGTGCCTCTGTGCCTGATGCCGTACCGGAACTGCTACGCCAGGTGGCACGGTCTGAGATGTTGAGCTCAGAGGGAGGGAGTGAAAGTTTCCATTCTCTTACATGACGGGATGAGCTCTTGTGTTAGTGCAACATTTAGTAAGCCTGTTACCCTGAACTCTACTACAGATTTGTAGTTAAAATGTTAAATACTGTGATACAGACTTTTCATTTGCAAGAGAGACGCCACTTGTTTTTCCTTTTCATAAGTTTTAAGGTTTAAGTTCCTTAAAGATTACCGATTAGAAGAATTCTCTTCAGAAGTTGCTGTGGAAAACCGGTTTGGACTCCCGTTATTATTCAGACATTCCCAGTGTTGGGATTGATATATTTTGGGGAAAACACTTTCTGAAGTTTTCCTGTTTCTGTAATTGTTTTTCTGATTAAATTGCAGAGAAGTTGCATGTTGTTGTTTGAGCTTTATTTCTTTGTGTGCGGCTTGAAAACGCTAACTGAATGTTAATATGCAGACATTGTACAGTGTACATGTAATGTACACACACACCCCTTCCTCATGTTTACCAGCTGCATTATTTCCCCATAAAGCTTTAATGTGTAACTCGGTGGGAGCACTAGAACATATACCCACAGTAATAACACAGTGTAATGTCAGATGTGGGCCGGGACTCTTCAGGTGCTGATGTAACTCCAGATTTGATGCTATTTATGACACTGGGCTCACCGTGTGATGTTTTTTTTTAACATATGAGATTGAAAACAAATAGAATTAATGATAAATATCAATATATATAATCAATGAATCATTGTTTATTTCTGAAGTAGGGTGCATATAACCTGTAACCTGTGCATATTTCATTTTCTTTGTAGTGAAACTGATGTCTTTGCTTCATCATCTCACCCTCTGTCTTGAGGCGTGTCTTGTTGTCTCTGCTAGTTTTATTTCACATGAATCGACCCAGGAGCTTCTGTGCTGCGCGTGTTCTGCACTTATTTAAGTTTTCGAGGATATTGGTTGTGTGCACTTTCCCCATTGACTGTGATTTTATTGTTTACTGGAGTAAATTTAACCCATTTAAAATTGAACTGATCAGTTGATTGACAGATTGACAATGGTTAATTAGATCATTGATCAAGGTTCCAGCTTCTCAAATATGAGGATTTGTTGTTTCTATCATTGTAATATTTGAGTTTTGGATGAGTCACTTAGGAAATTGTGAATGGCATTTTTTTTTAACCATTTTATTAACGATTTATCAAATAAAAAATGATTGCTAGTTGCAGCCTAACAACAAAATAGTTCCACATTGCCCATTCAGGGTAGTTTATATCATAAAATGTCACAGAATTATACTCATCAGTGCACAGCAGTTTTCATTAAATGCAGCCATTTTCCAACAGTAATCAAGTACAGACCTAATTTATGAATTGATATATTATATCAATCTAGCATACCGTAATGTGTTATCTTCCAGCTTTGTTGTGCGCAAATATCCACGTTTGTGCAATTTTTCAGTCGCAACAGCATTTATTACACTTTCCCAGAAGTTCTAAAAGTTGCTGAGGAATTGAAGCAGTTCACTGTGGAATAATAGCATTTTATTACGATTGACCTACTGAACTTACACCTTCTGACACCAGCAACTGTTGCAGAAATTAAAAAAACTACAATAATAATACATTGAAATCCCTCCGTTACCACATAGCGGCTCGTCCCTAGTCGTCCCTGGCTGTAAATGTATGGACGAGTAGACCGGCACTGCAGTGTGGATCTGGCAGCCGGCCACCTCGTCGGTCTGGCTGCAGAGAATCACAGATTGGTGGATGTGTTCACCAAAGCTATAATGTCCCACATGAGGCAGTGTTTTGCTTTCTTTGCTGTGTGTGTGTGTGTGTGTGTGTTTGAGCACACGTTTTCCCTCTCTCCCTGGTGGTGCTGGGGTGTTTGGCAGGATAAATATAGCTGCGTTGGTGTAAAGCTGTTTTCTCCTCAGCTTTTGTAGCTTTAATCAAAAGCAATCTGGAGGAGGGAGAAATGGAAGGGGAGAGAGGAAGGGTAAGAGGAAGAAGAGGTGGGGGTTCGGGGAGGACGGGGGGGTAGAGTTTGGCCAATGTCAGAGTGTTTTATTTTAGCTCTCTTTAAAGAGTCATTGGGGAGTGTTCAGGAGTAATGAGAACCCTGGTGGCTGGAGGAGAGGGACTGACTAACCTCCCCTCGGTCTCCTCCTCCATCCTCCGACTGTCCCTACCCCGCCCAACCTCACTCCCCCTGTCATCCAGTCTCCCTCACTGTGGCTCTGATGTCAATACTGGACTAGAGCACGGCTGCGTTCACACCGCAGGCCCTCACGAATCCTCATTTCTATTCTAGGACGTAACCAACCTCCCTCACCGATACAAGCTGACAGCGATGACGAGACCAGTTCACAAAGACGTCACAGTTGTTTTTAATGCGGTACTTAGTGTTTGTTTGAACCCGTCAAAGTGATCTTTTATGTTAGTTATTGTCTCCTATGTGACTTGGTCAGTGAAGGTGCTGTAGATCACCAGATTTTATTTGACTGGCTAAATGTTAGCCCAGTGGGAGAATGTGTAATAATGACTGTTCTGTTCATAGGGGTCACTCTGTAGCACTGGTTCCCAACCTTTTTATTCATTTTTAAGAAGCTGGAATCTGTGAATTTGTGGCCTTTTTGCTGAGAATTACATATAATACAAATTATAATAAATCCATTATCAAAATTGTGACTGATTAATTTTTCTATATATTTTTCAGTTTTGTTAAATTTTGTGTAATTTTTGTGTTAAAATGTGATATTTATTTAGCATTGTACTGAAACATAGGTATTGTATTGAGAAAAGTATTGAAACAATGTTGAATATGTTACCTAGAGCTGGTCTGTATGATGAATGTGCATCAGAGTTTCTGTGGGATGAAGATATCAAACGATACAGACCCAGAGAGTGAGAGAGGAACGTGAGACATACATACTGTGAACAGATTCTGTTCCTGTCACATCCTGTAATGGACACGTATTGTCTACATTGTCTTGTATGCGCACTGATTTCAAAATGTGAGGAGGAGAAGTCTGAATTTGGACGCAGTCGGCTGTGGTGTGCGAACGCTGCCAATGTATAGCCGTCGTGCATATGTGTGATGGGACAAATAGAAAGAAAGAAGACGGGAGATATTATTTTGGCAGCCAGTTGGATATCCTTTCATTATCAAGTTGGCTTTGTGTGCTTCATTTGGAGGCCAGAAGCAGCCCACAGTGGAAGCCAAGCTGCTCCCTGCTATAACTGCCGTGATGGTGATCTTAAAAAGCTTCCATAAAAGCCTTTTTCTGGACCACTCATTGGCAGCAGTGCAGCTCTTTAGGAAGCGCATTGTTCCATTTCCTGTTTGACAGAAACCGGGCCTCAGATTAGCGGTTGGCAAAGTAGATGGTTGAGATGGTTTTCATGGGCTGCAGCGAAGAATAGCTTCCTGTTGGGCACATTAATGTCAGCTGCATTAAGTACCTCAGAACAATGTGTCCAACTCTGTGAAGTCATGTCATGTATATGTGATTGCATAAAACCTATGATTATGATGAAAACATGCGGGCGGACCAGCTGCTGTCCTGTAGCTGTGGTTGTAATCAGCTCCTTGTTTCCCAGGTGATCTGGGTGTGTAACAACTGCCGGAAGCAGCAGGAGATCCTGACCAAGCCGGGCGAGTGGTTCACTGGTCCGGCTGGGAAACCCGCTGGCCTCGGTTCAGCCGTCAGCGAGCCATCTGTGTGCCAAACGCCCGGCGACAAGAAGCTCCGGTCTCGCTCCCAAGCGCCCCCGGGCTCCACCACCGCAATCCAAGACCCCAACCGACCCAGTGCACCCGGGGCCGTGCCTGGCACCGACGCTCGGTCACGTAGCGAACCACCACGAGACACGTAAGCTGAACAAATGCAGAAACCCCCTGTCACTCCCTGACCATATGATGACCCTTTAACACGTTTTAATCTGACACAGGAAGAGAAAGCCAACATCACTGAAAACCTT